AAACAAAAACGGTTACCGCTACAGTTACAGTTACTATTTGAATTGTACGCGAACTGGATGCTATTAATTTGTGAACTTTAGTCTAGCTTTTTGATATTCCATATGTTTTCTTATTAATTTTTGTTTGCTGAAATAGTTATGATTATATTTACTACTGTTATCGATATTGTAACGGTAAATCATTTCACGTTCACTTGTCAATAAACTCATTACCACCGAAAAATCACTTTTCCCATGATATATAATTCAACACTCTTTAAATGTCTTTTGATTGATCGTACATATTTATGGCGTCAACCATTCAAACGTCCATTAAAAGAATAAACATTTGATTGGAACAATTAATTTATCGCTAAACGAGAATCCGTGTTAAATTTATTCTTCTCATCGAGAACAACTAATTCAACAGCAACGTCTCATTCTCAAGAAGTTGGTATCTATCACTATTGCAAGATGGCATTCGCAGATTTCAACTAGATCTGGTGGATTTAAACTACGTATCGGTATGTCGAGCTTTAATCTCTTCTTGTTACGTAATCTATTTAAGAATAGTTCAAAAAATACCCAAATTTCTTGAGAACGAACGACTTCTTATCGAATAATTTGATAGCATAAAGAAAGTCAAAGATTACGATTATAGGCCGTCGAAAGTTTTCCCATTTGTAGTTGAAGAATTTAAGTTCGGTTGATCTAGAATTTCGAGGAAAAGTGAATTGCGCAATCTTCACCCAATTTTCTCCAGTCGATCCAGGCGCAACTTCAAACTCTTATCATCAGAAATTATTCGATTGTTTATGCAAAACAACCTCTTTATGATGTTCTTAGAGACTTTAACAAGCCTTGAATTTCACCGATGCGACTTCAATGCGATATTTGACGTCGAAAAATTAGAAATCGAAAAACTTCTAAATTTCAAGTAATGCTTTGGTGGTGTACAATTGTAGACATTTACCAAATTTCCAATATAAAAGACAACAAAATTATGATGACGCGAGACTTTATTATTATATTCTCTGTCATAATATGCGTTCTGTCTCATTTTTTATACATGTACATAGAAATCGCTCTACACGCACGATATTATTAATGTGACTCTTAACATAAATAGAAATCAAAATAATAATGATGTGTTATACATATAAGTGTATATGTAGTAACGATTCTAAAATTTTATCCACAACAGGTGTATTAAATAGACCAATTGTATAAAGATAAGGCAATTGAAAATCGGAAAGTAATGCTCGAGTTGGCGTGAAAAGAAGCATTGAAGAGAGAGTTCGCTTGAACTTTAATAAGAATTCATCGTTAATTTTCTTGTCCGAGTAAGAGGAATGATAAAGCGATAATCTTTTAAAAAGGTGCAATTTGAAATCAGTTGAAATGCCGGATTTTCACGAATTAAATCGGTGTGGATTGATTATTTTACGAGATTCGAAGCACAAGTAAAATAAAATTATTTCGTATTTTCCGATAGAGCATAATTTCGGAAGAAAAATTTCTCGGAGATGACCAATAGATATAATTTCAAAGAATGGTAGAAGATGGGAGCGTGTTAGATGAAGATATGAATTTTTCCAGAGTATGAGGAAATCTTTTAATACAACAAATATATGTGATAATTCAAATTTTGAGTGATAATAATGTACAACTTTGAAATGACGAATTATATGTGCGGAAGTCGAAGCTATGCATGGTGTATTAAAGGGAAAAAGGGTATCCTAGCCATGACGAAAAAATGTTAGGGGTCATGTGATATTTGTGTAGTCCGGAAAAATTCTACGGTAACAGAGTTTATTGTTAGGCCTGGGATCAAGATTGTATATGAAATTGTCTTTCCGACATTTTTAGTGTATCAAGCATCTATTTTTACATTTTTTCTCTTTTCATTTTCTTGTGTCGGATTTGTTTTGCCGGGTAGCTCAAAAATTTACGCATTTTTATTGTTTTGTGTCACCGGCAGATCAAAAATCTACGCATTATTATTGGTGCCACGTGATCCGTAACTTTTTTTCGCCATGGCTAAGGTACTTTATTAAAAGAGTGCGTCGTGAGGGTTGTGTGAAACCACGTAACTCTGTTATCATTTCCCTTTACGAGATAAATATATACTTAATAGTGTAATGGGAAAACGGGGGGAGGTAGATTTTGATTGGTAACGCTGAAATCTTTTTATCCATCGTTATTTCACATTCTTAATTCTCACGCTCTTTGCTCTGTTTATACAGAGGTTTTTCTTTTTTGATGTTTTTTCTGACTAACTCTCAACTTAGGGTTCAAGAAATTTTTGGAATATTATTTTGAGCAGTTATCTCTGTTATGGTCTAGCCACTGGGTGGTTGTGATGAGGGTTCGATTCCTTCCTAGGTCGTGCGGCCTTGGGTCTGTCAATTGTCAATCTGAGAGAGTTTTCATTTGTCATTCCTTTGGCTTAGCTCAGTATAGCCCTCGCTGTCGGCTTTAAACTTTAGCGTAACAGTAGTTGTTTGGGGTTCGATTCCCTCCCTACTTATAACCCTCGCTGTCGGCTATAAACTTTAGCGCGAATTTTTCTGTGGAATTGTTCGGGGCGATTGCATCATGCTTTTAAGAGCTAATAGATCCAGTCCTATAAACTATCTTGCTTCGGGTTACCTGTGATTTAGCCATGGGTACGTCAGTGCCTCGGCCTGTGAAAGCTTCGTAAGTACAGGAAAATGCTAAATCACTGCCAGAAGTTTGATCGGGTACAGCGCCCTTCAGGCAAGGGGATAGCATATATTTATATATTTTTTCTGCCGTCGGGCTCTTAACTGTGAGTATCCCAGACTAGATTCAAAACTAGAGGACATAATCGGGTAGAGTTTAATCTTCTATAGTCTATAGTTGTTTTGGAACCACTCTTAATTGAGAATAATTCAACTTGGACGTATGATTTATAATTCTCTTCTCGTAGATTGGTCCTTTTGGGAAACTCTGCTTCTCTCTTCTGAAGACTAGTTATTCTGGTCTAATGTTCATTATGCGTTCATTTATATGTTCGCTATTATATTATATTTTCTGATGGCTCAGGCTATTTCTGGCCAAATGATGTTCAGCCCACCACAGGATCTTGTGTGGATAATCTCACTTTGAGATGGAGGTTCGATTCCTTCCAAGATCGGGCTACTGGTCATATAGGCTGACATATTCCGAATAAATGGTCCGGGTTTTCTTCAACGTCTATATGCTAATCCTTGGTCTGGTTGCGTTCAGTGATTAGTGTATTGTCGTTTCTCCCTCCTGGTATCCGGAAAATCAACGATCTAGTATGGGTTGATACTTCAAAGTCCTCTTGGATGAACAATTCACACTATAACAATAATCAAAAGGCCAAAAACGGAAGCAGAAACTTCAACTGTTGCTCGTATTTACAAAATCCGTGTCATCGTCATCAACAATAACCGAAACACGTTCTTCAAGAAAGCCTACTCGGATATTGCTCATCACTATAGAATAGGAACGCACTTTAAAGAAAAAACCATTCAGACACTACACCATTGCAGCAGAATTATGCATTATAGGAGTGTGCTTTCGTACAAGTTGCGAAACTTCCTTCGTCCATTAGAAATTCATGGAGTACTATGGGACATCCACAGAGCATGTGCAAATATACTATTTTAATTTTTTAACAAATAAATCTTTCAAAGAGCATAAAACGCTGGAAGAATCAAATAAAAGAGGAGAGATGTCATCAATCGAGACGGAAAGAATGAGTCAAGGCTGATATTGACATTATCGTTATGCCAAAACTTCCAAATACCCCAAAAAGTAACGCCCGATTCAAAATCAATAAAATAAAAAACAATATTTAATTAATATTTTGTCGGCGCTCCATTTGCCTTTACTGCATCAATCTCCCTTGGCATTGAGGCAATAACCTCTTCAAAAACAGACATCAACTCCCATTCCTTCTTTAGCGCGCGGCCTTAAGTTCGTCCACAGTCTTCGGAAAGACCTCATAATTTTGATTATTGTCCTTCAAAAACCTTCCAAATGTTTCGATTGGATTCAAGTCTGGCGAATTTGCCTAGTCGTGATTTTATTTTCCATCAGCAACTTGATTTTTCCCGCTCCGCGGTATGAACTGGTGCGTTGTCCTGTTGAAAAATCGCGTAGTTTCCCAGATTACGTTCTGAAATGGTAATAAATTGGTTTTTAAGATTTCAAGGTAAGTACTTTTTCGTTATTTTTTATATTCATCGCAAAAAATTAACGGTCCCACGAAACACCTCCAAGAAATTACGGATTTCGACCACTTTTAAAAGTGGATACCAAGCAAGTATTGTTATACTTTTCTCCTGGATGCCGCCAAACTCTTAGTTGTTGTAACGGCTTCCCAATTTCCACACTCGTCTCATCAAAAAAAATAACTCTCGTCCAATAATAAGCATTTTTATGATTACTTTCCTCACACCATTTAAAACAAGCATACACATGTATTTCTGAGAGAAGGGTTCCTTTGCTACAATATGTGAATGAAGTCCGGAGTTGTGCAGTACATTTGCGGTTGACAAACTGCAGTTAAGATCTAAATTACTCACAAATTCGCGGAGTGGCGCAACGTCGCTTTTCAGTTTCATTGCAGTTGTAACAAATTGGAGATCGATAATTATTATTTTGAAAATAGGTTTGGTTGTTGTTTCTAGACGTTTTTCATGGTTCTAAGGGCCGGCGGTCCCCCGGAACGTGGTAAGTTTTGACTTTATCCCGTCTTTTTGTATTTGATAATAAAGCGGCGTATTGTTGTAAATGCACGTCCGATCTCGGTAAAATTTGGAAATTAACGTTAAAGGTTGATTTAAACTTAGAATAAGGGTTCGGAAAACATAACTATATGTTAAATTGTCTTCCTGACATTTTTTATGAGTACTCCAAGCTAGATTTAAGCATTTATTCTCCCGTATTTTTCGCATTTGCTCACATAACAATATTATGGTGTTGACGATGCTATAAACGTTAAAATGGGAGAAAAATTGATACGTATTCGTAATTGACGAATTTGCCTACAACAAGGGGTGGGGAGAGCGTAAAGACTGGTTCGTTTTCGTTAGTATCTAATTCCTGTGCCGATATCTACAGATATCGTTGGATTAACAGCGAGAGAGAGAGACTTTAAAAGAGCTATCTAGATAAGGAGAATTGGGTTTCTTTATTCTTAAACGGCGGGGATATTCTGTTAACAATGTTTATTAATAATAATTTGCTTTTTCTAGCTAAAAGCTTTTAAACTATTTTACACAAAGCGCTTTAAGATCAATCAATATGCCGTTTTATCATTAATTCTGTCTTTTATTGATGTTTTTGAGGACCTTTATAAATACATTTTTTTGTTACATATTATGAGTGTTCTAAATATCGGTGACGTTCAACATCCCGACAACCACAATCCCGACAAAACATAAACCCGACAACCGAAATCCCGAATGAACAGCATACCGACAGCACGAAATCCCGAATGCATGAAATCTCGATATTTAAAATCTTAATAT